AAGTTTTAAGTTCGGAAAATTAGGAATGTCAAAAAAACCGTCCAGCTTTCCTGAAAGTTACGAGTTGCTAAACTTTTCCCCACTGATCCCCAGGCGCCTGAAAAGGAAAAGTGTGTGTGTGTGTGTGTGAGAGAGAGAGAGAGAGAGAGAGAGAGAGAGAGAGAGAGAGAGAGAGGAGGAGGGAGGGAGGGAGAGAGAGAGAGAGAAAGAGAGAACTAGTAATAGATTTATAAGAGAGAGACAGAGAGAGAGAGGAGGGAGAGAGAGAGAGAGAGAGAAAGAAAGAAAGAGAGAACTAGTATAGATTTATAAGAGAGGGAGAGAGGGAGAGAGAGAGAGAGAGACGCGGAGACGAAAGGCTTCTTCGGGCGTTCCAAAGCGCCGCTTCACCCAAAAGTTGGACCCTCTCCGGGGACGGGCCCCTCTCTAGCCATGCTCAGAGGCACCCCCGCCGCTTCTCCTCTGGCAAAAGCGAGAACCGGAGCATTTACGAAACCTCCTCCGGGGTTACGCCCTGACTCAACCCTGACAGCTCCAGCTTCCTAACGCAGGCGGGGAGGCCAGGTTCCCCGGAGTGGAGGAAAGGCTAAGCCCCGGGCTCCCTCCTTCGGCCCCAGACTTGCTCTCCTCTCCCCCCACCCACCCCCCCTTCTCCTCACAGCCGGCTCACCTGAAGTAGTAGACATCGCTCTTCCCGGCGCTCAGCCCCGATTTGCGGATGACCTCCTCTTTCTTCCACCCGGGGGGCAACGCCGGACAGTCCACTCTCTTGCCCCGCTTCTCCATGCGGTGGGTTCGGGGGTGCCCCTCGGCCAGAGACGGAGGAGTCGAAGCCGGGGAAAGTGAGGCGCCCCCGAACCGAGGCCTGCTGCTGGTGCTCCTGCTCCTGTTGCTGGCCAGCTCCTCGGCCCCTTCGGCAGGGGCGGAGGGGAGAGGTCGGCGGGACGCGCGCTGCCGGGCAGGCGCGTCGGAGCGGCTGTCCAGAGGCGGCGGCGGCAGAGGGAAGCCGTGTCCACCCGGGACCGCCGCCTCCTCTTCGGCGTCTGCTGATGCTGCTGCTGCCGCCGCCGCCGCCGCCGTCGAGCCCTTTCGGCCAGTGCCGGGAGGAAGAGTCGGGGCTGCGCGCGCAGGGCTTCCCTTCGGCCAGGCGGCGGCGGCGGCGGCGGCGGCGGCGGCGGAGCAAGAGAAGGAGGAGGCGGCGGCGGCGGCGGCGACAGCGGCGGCTGGGGGAGGGGCGGTGGCTGCTGCTGCTGCTCCTGCTGCTGCTGCTGCTGCTGCTGCTGCTTCCGTAACTGAGCCTCGGAATCCGTGTCATCGGCGCTCGGAACCTCGGGGTCATAGAGCCCGCGCCGCACAACCAAGGGAGGGGAGGAGAGTGGGAAGGATGACGGCGCGCCAGCCAGCCAGCCAGCGAGCCGCCGCGCCCACGCCCGGCCCAGCCCCCTGTCCCAGGCAAGGCAAGGCAAGGCAAGGCAAGGCAAGGCATTCCCGGCTTCCTAAGACCGCCCCCCCCCCGCCCTTCTTTCCCCTCGACCCCGGCCCGCTTCAGACTGGAGGGACGCCGGACGATGCTGCCCGGTTGCTTCCAAGCCGACGCCTTCCTTCGGGGACGGGCTTTAGGCGCCTTCGAGGTCGGAAAGTCTGGAATTCCTTTTGGCCGGGATTGAGATTTTTTTTAAGTTGTTCAAGCCTTCGTTGTCAGAGGACAACCTGTGTACAGTGAGATTGGCTGAGCCTCCCTTCGTGCACACGCACCCAACCCCGCCAACACAATACAACTCTAGAATGGAATAGAATGGAATGGAATGGAATAGAACAGAACAGAACAGAACAGAATAGAATAGAACAGAATAAGGAATAGAATAAAATAGAATAGAATAGAATAAGGAATAGAACAGAACAGAAGAATAGAATAGAATAGAATAGAATAGAATAGAATAGAATAGAATAGAATAGAACAGAATAGAATAAGGAATAGAATAGAATAGAATAGAATAGAATAGAATAGAATAGAATAGAATAGAATAGAATAGAATAGAATTCTTTATTGGCCATGTGTGATTAGACACAAGGAAATTGTCTTGGTGCAAATGCTCTCAGTGTACATAAAAGAAAAGATACATTCATCAAGAGTCAGGAATCAGAAGGTACAACATTTAATGAAAGTCATAGGGTACAATAAGAAACTCCCAGGGAAGTCAGTGAATCTAACTAACCCAGTGAATCCTACTAACAAACACACAATCCTAATTGCACCATGCGAATTTTATTGCACGTCGCGCCCTGCAATCGGAAAAGGCAGGCGTGCGCGGGTTCATGTGCAGAGTTCTTTTTCTCCTTAGATTCCCCCCACCCCACCCCCGGGACGCTTAAGAGTCCAATGTCTTTGGAACTGAGCGGAGGATGAAGACGATGAAGATTGTAACTTTTAATCCGGACTTTTGAGACGGTCCAGAGTAGCTCTTTCTTTCATTGCCCATAAAACTAAAACCAATAGATTTCACATGATCTAAACTAAAATGAAACTTTCGAGCAGAGCTTCTTGAGAGTGGGTTCCCTGCCCCCCCTCAACTTCAGAGGCTAATAATCGGGGAGAAAGAACAGAGTTGCGATTGTCAAGAGGCTCTCTGACCATGTCCAAAGTACTCTCCCCGATCACCCCTCCCCCCCCAAAAAAAACCCACCATCCTGAACTGGATCTAATGGGTGCAATTGGGACGTCCTGAAGAGCAGTACTTTTCGGGAGTCCAGATTTATACATTAGAAACGAAAGACCGCGTGGGTGGGCCGAACCCACCGAACTTCAGCCGGGAGCTGCCACAAGGGACCTCAAAAAGGCGCGGGGAGAACCTTGAAATGTCACGAGCTTCCTGTTGCGAAAGTTTCCGGGCAGGAAAATTGTTCCCGGATCCTTCAGCAGAGGCCGCGGTGAGAGGTGCGGGGGAAGGGGGTCATTTGAGGGCGTAGCGAGCTCTTTCGGTGGTGATAGACTCGCAGGACCGGCGCAGCGTGCAACATGCTCACATTGGTGCAATATAATATCATGTAATGTAATGCACATATATGTATAGAGGATTGTGTGTTTGTTAGTGTGATTTTACAGGGTTGGGGACTTTTTTTTTCCACTGAGTTGAGATGTATTTATGTTGGGGGGGGGGGCGTGCACTACTTGAGGCTCAGCCAATCTCATTGTACACATGTTGTGCATTGACAATAAAAGATTGAATTGAATTGAGTTGAGTTGAATTGAATTGAATTGAATTACAGAGGCGCGGGAAGAGAGAAGAGAGCTAGGCATGTAAAGGTTCGTGGGGAAGGATGACGGATCCCCTTCTCTTTACATCCACCCTCTTCACGGATTTTCAAAAAACTAGTTAAAGGCCTGTAGAAATGCCAGAAGTCGGTCTCCTTCCACTTGAAGGTCATTTAATGCTTCTAAGTGGCTCAAAAGGCAGCTTTCAAGAAGGGTAAGAGGTCGAAAGCCGTTTAAAAGAAGAGAAGCGATCGGCGAAGCTGAATGTGGACTTTCGGGAAAAGGCGCTTGCTCGGCAAACTTTTCCCTAACTTGGCTCCCTCTGATGTGTATTTGGCTCCCGTGAAAATCAAAACGCTACTCCGGAGAAGTTAGTTTCACGGGCTGCTATTATACAGTAGCTTAACGCCAGGGGGGTTAAGACTCACCTGTTGAGTTTCACCTGTTAAGTCAGGGAAGAGCTTTATAAAGTTGTCGTACGAATCCAGTTCCTTGGTAACGTCGAGTTCTGGAATATTGTTTCAACCCAAAGGTACTTTTTTCCAAAAGGCAACTCGACTTCTTGGCTTTTTTTTTCCTTTGAAAAGTTTTACTTCTTCCTTTGATGCCTTTTCAAAGAAAAAGAAAAAAAACCAAGAAAGTCAAGTTGACTTTTGGGAAAAAGCACTTTTGGGACAACAGTGACCTGGATGATTGAAAATTTCCACAGACAACTCAGAAAATGGGTTAGTTGATTCAATAACCGGATGAAACTGGTTGTGTGAACACACTGGCACACTTATGAACTAGCCATATTTTAGCCCTAGTGTATCGTTAGGGCTAATTTCTGATTCTTCATATTCTCCAAACCCAGAGCATCCTTCACTGTACTTGGCGAGGTCCTTATAATAGGCTAACCCATGGTTTAACATGAATAAACCACATTGGCTGGATGTACCCAGCACACACACGTTTTGGGTTGATGTGCGGTGGGAACCCAAATACTGAAATTCCCATTCAGATTCATTTATATATTAAAAAAAAAAAATCCGCGCTGTCCTTTTCTAATCAAAAGGATACAATTTTGTTCTTTTTGTTTCTATTCCCGAAAATAAAGTGTTGCCAAAGTCTCCGACCACAGTTCAACTTTGTATTTCGTTGCGAAACGGATATTTCCTAATATTAGAAAGGAAGTGGGATTCTCCCTCTTTGGGGTGGGGAAATTAATAGCTTTTATTCACCACGGTATATTCTAATAGCACACCAAAGAGGCACTAGGCACCCTGGCCCTCTCAGACGTGGTTATCTCTTGTTAAGAGACAGATGGCTTTAATCCCTTTCACTTTCTTAGAAAAGCGAATTGAACTCAACGGAAGCGCCTGCACACTTTCGTTTTGCGCGTCAAGCCTTTGCGAGGAAACACGTGACTTGCTCCTGGGCCACTCTGAACCCGTAACTAACCCTAAGGGCTGAGTTCGCACGACCAGAGGGCTAAAACGATCCTAACTAGTCGCTGGTGAACGTGTGAATCCGCCGAGAGTGAGTCGCAGGCTTCAAAGAAAGAAGTTCAAAAGTGTCTTAAGCTAGGCCGGCCGAACGATCCGGAACCGGTCCCCGCATTCTCATTGGTGCGAGCGGAGAGAACAGAAGGATGATTGGACGGCTCTCCTCTTAAAACTCCTCCTTCCAAGGCTGGGCGTCTGAGTTCGGGCTCCGGACAGAGGCGGAGCGCCTTGGCTGGTCTGACCTGAACCGCCGGCGTTGCGTAAACGCCGCGCGAAAATGGAGGACTCGGAAGGCGAAGAAGGGGAGGAGACTGAGGCCGAGTGGCTCTTGCCGGGACCCAGCAGCGGACTCCAGAGAGATCCTCCTGGGGCCGTAGAAGGAGTCTCGCGTAAAGTCCTAGGAAATCTTCCTTCCACCGACTGCCGCGGGATCTAAGGCAGCCTTGGCCCTGTGGACTAGGAGTAGGGCAATAGCAAGGAAGCTAAGACCGGGCTGGGGTTGGGGGTATAAGTACGAATAAGTACGAGAGAGAGAGAGGAGAGGGGGGAAGGAGAGGGGGGAGGGAGAGAGAGAGATGGGGAAGTGGGGAGATAGAGAGAGGGGGGGAGATACATAGGGAGGGAGAGAGAGAGAGGGAGATAGATAGGAAGATGGGGGGGAGATAGATTGGGAGAGAGATAGAGAAATAGGGAGATGGGGGGATACATAGGGAGGTAGAGAGATAGGGAGAGAGAGAGGTGGGGAGGTGGGGAGATAGATAGCAAGGGAGAGGGGGAGAGAGAGAGGGAGATACATAGGGAGGTAGAGAGATAGGGAGATAGAGATAGGGAGAGAGATAGGGAGAGAGGGAAGGAGATAGAGAGTGGGGGAGATAAAGAGATAGGGAGAGAGAGAGAGAAATAGGGAGATGGGGAGAGAGAGATAGGGAGGGAGGGAGATAGAAAGGGAGGGAGATGGGGAGAGAGAGAGGGAGGTACTGGGGCCCCAATCTAGCCAAAATTTTACCTAGTAGGTTATGTGAGTCTAGGCCAAGTAGTTTTATAGTTCAGTGTGAGGTAGAAATTCAGAATAAATAAATGAAAATAACCTTGTCTCTGTGCCTCCCAATTCTGTAGTTGATATCAATAGTGCATTGGAGCTGATGGAAGATTTTCTTTTTGGAAAAAAAAAAGGGGAGGATTTTTCAGGAGGCATCTTCAAGGTCAGAGTTAGGAAAAGGGCAGCAATAGAGTTCCCTGCTTGCCCAAATGGGAAAACAAACCAGGATGCTTCCTGGAATTTTGCCCACTCCTGGGAAAGAGCAGGAGAGATCCTAAGTGTTGTTTTTACTAATGTGTGATTGACATTTCATCAGCTTTCTGCATCCACTCAACACTTTGAAATAGACACTAGTGGCCATGGCTAGGTTTGCTCTGTACGCTTGGCCAAAATGTAGTTGGCTTCATTGTAATTCCTTGTGCTGTAGAAATGCAGAAATCGAAAATTATTCTACAGGCTGAAGCCTGCACTTCCGTGGAAAGGAGTAATAATATTTCCCTCCAGATGCAAAAAAAAAAAAAAAGTTGTTTGTAACTGTTTGTATTCACACAGAGCTTGTTTACCAGGCTGGTTTGTTCAAATAACCCAGTTGCTGGGATCAATTGTCATTGAACAGGGGTGTCAAAGTCATGTCATATTGTGGACTTGACATATTGCAACTTCCCCCTTCACTAAAATGGGGGGGGGGGCATGGCCAGCGCATGATGCATCCAGCCCGTGGGTTGCGAGTTTGTCATTGAACAATATAGAATAGAATTCTTTATTGGCCAAGTGCGATTGGACACACAAGGAATTTGCCTTGGTGCAAATATTCTCTGTATACATAAAAGAAAAGATACATTCGTCAAGAATCATCAGGTACAACACTTAATGATAGCCATAGGGTACAATAAGCAATCAAATCATGGTAGGAAACAGTCGATATAAATCGTAAGGGTACAAGCCACAAAGTTACAGTCATGCAGTCACAAGTGGGAGGGGATGGGTGATAAGGAAAGATGAGAAGATTAACAGTAATGGTAATGCAGACTTTGTAAGAGTTGAACAGTGTTGAGGGAATATCTTACAACTGGGCCATAGACCAGCCAACTCTATTTACAAACTTGCACATGAGATGGGAAGATCCTTGGGATGCTTGAAGTTGATAGAAAGAAAATCACGTATGAACTATGGAGTGGTGTTTTAAACTGAAAACTACGAATAGACATTAAAGCAATGTAGGGTTTAATTTAACCAATAATGTATTGCTGTTAAAGCAGTCCAAAATTCAGCATCCTGATTTGAAGCCCAAACAGAAGTGATTGTGGCTATGCTGAGTGATGTGTTAAAGAGGCTGGAGATTAAGAGGTAATATGAAACAGGCTGTTTTTTTTTTTTTCTGAATGTCAAATTTGTTTGCAGGTTATCATGGACAAGCCGTGCCAAAAGGAAATGCTTGGAACCGTATCATTGTGCATCTGGATTTGGACTGTTTTTATGCCCAGGTAGAAATGATCTGCGATCCTGAATTAAGAAGCAAACCTTTAGGTAATTTCAGAAAGTTGGTGGGGAATGCTATTCCACAGGAAATGTTGTAGAGTCTCTATGCCTGAACTTCTTATGAGGAAACAAGCAAAATATATTTTGTTTTCTGTCATAATCAAGATAGCAGTGTTTGTTCTGGTTTAGCAATTCTTGTTGGCTGATGTGATGACCCAGAGCACGGCACAAAGGAAACACAGTAAGATAATCACTAGGAGTCCCTTTATTAGCTCCAACTTTGCCCGCAATGTCCTGGTTACCTTCTGGCTGGAGAAAAACTCTCCCAGGAACAGCCTTTGGCTGCAGAGAATCAAGGTCAACAAAACCTATAAGTCCAATCAAGGCCAAATGAAATAATTAGTCTGGCAGGGCAGGAGCAAGAATTCCAGACGTGAAGGCACGGCAATAACTCAACATGGTTGGGAAGGTGCCAGGAACACAGATAACCAAAGTCAACACAAGATAAACTCACATTTGCTCCCAACAACTTGCTGCACGCAACTTCCTTCTTTATACACTGTGTTCCCAGCTGCAGCTAATAAAGGGAATCAGGACCCTTTGCTCCCCCATAAGCCACGCAACCCACGTTGCTCTCTTCTCTGTTCCTCCCTGCATACCTAAGATGAAGAGGGGTGGACCTGGGTCTTCCTCTGAACTTCCTCTCCCTTGTTCTACCTCTCCTCTGCTTTGCCGAGATGACTTTGCCCTTCCCCAGTTTCCTCCCACAGCCAATGGAGCCAAATTCCCACTCCCTGTCAGCTGTTCGTCTTCCTTCTTGGATTCAGAATCTGACAAGGGCATGACAGCTGAGTTAATCATTAGGGCAGGATTCACACAGCATACTAATCCATAATGTGGCTTATTTGGTTCTGGCTTCATATATGACCCAGTCAACAGTCTAGGTCTAGGATTTAGTGTGCGGTCCATTGTTGCTTATTTAGTAAAAATCTGGTTAACACATAATAGAGTATGTTGTATATAATGCAACTCAGTTACTTGATTTGAAATGTCAACTGGATTCAGAAAACTAGGTCAACCTACTCAGATGCTTCAAACCATTTTGAGAAAAAAGGGCCGAGTTTTCAGTCTGATTCAGAAAAGAGATTCAGTTCTGAAATTCAATCAAAGTGAAACTCTCTGTGTTTTCAATTTCAGTCCTGGACAGCTATCAGAGCCAGATTGCCCACTTCAGTGTGGGACTGCTTCTCAACACTGAGAACAGTCTGTTTCAGGCTTGAAATGATACAAATGTTTTCTATCCCCGCTGTTTGAGTGCCCGGTTGAGCGGCATGGTGGCCTAATGGTGAAAACACCCACCTCCCACTCGGAATGTTGAGAATTCAATCCAAGGGTGTGGCAGATGTTTCTCTCCCAGGGTGCAAAGGAAAAAAATCTGCTGTGAACTTCCATGTTGACGTCAGGAAGGGCATCCGGCCAGTAAATGCTCAGCTCCTCCATCCAGTTGTCTGGACTCTACTCCAAATCAATTTCGGGGTCATAAAAAGGGAGTTTTAAAAAGGCTGGTATAGCGAATAAGGCATTGGAGTAGAGGGGAAACACTACTTTAGCTCAGGAAATCACACCTTCTCAGCCCTTATTAAGAAGATTATAACAAACCATTTGTGAAAATCTTGCAAGAAAATTGAATGAGCTTGTTAGGAATGAAGATGACTCGAAGGCAAATAGAGACCTCCAATAGACCTACTGACAGCAGCCCATACACTTGTATACAAGCTAAGTAGTGTAACGTTATGAGGTTTTTTTTTATTTATTTAGAAGTGCTTAGTTAGGAGGCTAAGTGTACATGTTGCCTGCAAGATACAATAGTTGTTTAGGAATTTTTTACACCCTAAATACCTGCAGTTTTTCTCGCTGCATAAACAATCAGTGATCTAGAACAGGGATGTCAAACTCAAGGCCCGTGGGCCGAATGCAGCCCACAGGGTGCTTAGATCTGGCCCATGGGGGGGGGGACACTGGAAATAGCAAAGGACCCACTCATGGTGCCTCTGACAGTGAAAACGGAGCTCATGTTCTGACCCAACCCTGTTATCCACAAGAAAATCTCAAACAAACGCAGCAACTCAAACCTACACAGCTTTAATCTGCAAATAACTTCTTTGTAGATAAAAGATGGCTTGCAGCCAATTAGTCCAACCAGAAATCGACAGAATTCTTCAGATAAGCCGGAGTCTTACACACACCTCGACAGAATTCTTCAGATAAGCCGGAGTCTCTACACACAATGCTGGGTCCTTAGAGCGTTTTTGCCTTTTGCAAAGGAAAAAACCTTTTGAAACCAGGCTTATATTCCCTGGAGGGAGAATACTCCCGAGTCGCCTATGCTGCTCCAGCTGTTCTCTTCTACAAATCATCCTGCGCTCACGTGCACTTGGCACAGGCTCCTCGGGAACCTCCTCATCACTGCTGCCAGCTCCCACAATCCCTGAAGGCAGCAGTCCATGGTCCCGGCCCCTCATCTGTCCTCACTCTGCTCCACCATCCTCACCTCCTGCCAGCTAACCACAACAGCTCAGGAGGGCCACATGCAGCCCTCCCGGATTCCATTTTTGCTGACAGAGGGCAGCAGATGGATCCCACCAGCCCCGCCAGGGCCACCACAGATGCCCCCAACATGAGTGATGTTGAGTGTCAACTCATAAAATATTTCTATGGTCTTTTTAGATTTGCCAACAAAAAAGGAGGGGGGAGCAGTGGGCAGCTTGCATTCCATAAATGTTTTCAAAGATAGTTTCTAGGTGACCGAAGTTTCTGCCATGCAAAATTCTAACTGGAGAGTATGATTGATGACTCTTGGCTATGGATGTGTCCTATTCCTCTCCAGAGGAATATGTATTATGATGCACCCAGAGGGTGGCGGATAACCAGTGTCAAGGGTGACAATGAATGATGTGTCTCAGAGTTGGCTATACCCAGGCTGTGCCGGCATGTTTACTCCTAATAAATCTTCTTTAAGTTTTGGAAGTTCAGCTCGAGGCTCATGATTTAAATGGGGGTAACTGCCGGAGCCCTGACATTGAGCTGGCCATGCCCACCCGGCTATGCCCCCTCCCCAAGGTCAAACACAACCCTGATGCAGCCCTCAATGAAATTGAGTTTGACACCCCTGTCCTAGAACTTCTTAATTGTACTAATCAGCATTTGGCCAGGGCAGTCTTTGATTATATTATTATATTATAATAATTATAATTATATTATTCATCCTTTGGCACAGAAATGGGAAAAATTGGACTCGCAATGGTATATGTAACAGGATCTACTGTGATACGTACTGTGATACGTACAAACTATGGAAAAGTATTTGGCATGAAGTCACCTGTTATTCTTAATTGCTGTGTTTGCACCTAGGTGTGCAGCAGAAATACCTGGTAGTCACCTGCAATTATGAAGCCAGGAATCTTGGTGTGAAAAAACTCATGGGTGTGAAAGAAGCGAAAGAAAAGTGTCCGGATCTGATACTGGTTAATGGAGAAGATCTGACTAAATACAGGGAATTCTCTTACAGGGTTACAGGTACTGCTTTGATTTGATCCTTGGAACCCTGGAAAATGTTTTCTTGGGGTTTAGTTGCAATACGCCCTCTGCACCTAGAGACTATAAGTAGTCCTTGACTTACAACCACAATCGGCACCAGAAACTCAGTCACTAAGCGATATGGTTCTTAAGTAAGTCATCATCCATGCTTGATTTTATATACTTCTGTGGCATGGTCATTAAGCGAATTCTACTTGGAAACCACTTGTAGACTTTGTGCTTGAGGGGGGGCGGGGGGGAGGAGGAAACTTTGATTTGGAGTTTTACCAGTTGGATAGATTTGTTGTTATAGAAATGGCTAGTTTAAACTATTGTGTGAAAGTAAAAAAGTTGAGGTTTGATGCCAGTGCCTTATTTTACTGCCTCAAAGGGAGTCTGAAATCAATGCCTTTTTTCCTCTTCCCCCCTTTTTTCCACACTTTTCCCTTCCCTTTTCCCCTCCCTATTTTTTCCTACTTTTGTATTTTTTTTTGTATGTTTTAACATAAACTAATAACAGTGGTTAAATTCAGTGGTTCCACCTTTATCCACTAACTTTGCTTGTCAAAAGCCAGCTGGGAAGGGCACATATGGCAATCAGTAAACTCAAAGGTACTGCAACTATTGTAAATACACACCAGTTGCCATGCACCCAACTTGTGATCACATCAGGGCTGCTACCAGTTTGTATGTTCATTTTAAATCTGGTTCACCAAACCAGTAGTTGCAATGGCTGGCTGGCCTCGTCTACCCTGCCCCTCCCCTCCCAGGAGTCTTCACGTGGCCCATTTTGGATCCCAGGTCAGTGCAAGGCCCACACGGGGGCTCAGGGAGGATGAAAACTGGGCCCCCGGGCAGGGGGGAAACGGGCCTCCCAGAGAGTCAAGGAAAGTCTCCAGAGCTCAGAGAGGTGAAAAATGGGCCTCCCGGAAGTTCCGGAAGGCCGGAAACAGTTCTGGAAGGCCAGAAATGGGCCCATTTCCGGCCTCCACAGAGCCTCCAGAGCCCAGGGAGGCCATTTTGACCCTCCTGGAGACTCAAGGAAAGCCTCCAGAGCCTGGGGGGGGGGGCAAAAATGGGCCTCCTGCCATGATGCAGGAGGCTGGTTAGGCCACACCCACCATGGTCACGTCCATCCAGCAACCATGCAGAGAACCGGTTCCTAAATTTTTTGAAGCCCACCCTTGGATCACATGACTTTGGGGATGCTTTGATGGTCATAAGTGTGAGGACTGCTCACAAGTCACTTTTTTTAGTGCTACTGTAACTTCAAATGGTCACTAATGAATTCCTACATCTTTCCTTCTTTTAATCCTACCTAGTGCTAACTCATAAAGCATGATTTATAAGTCACAATGGCTGAGTACATATTCCATATTAAATCCAAACCAATAAAAAACAACAACCCTGTGGTGTGTTTTAACATATTTGAATCTAAGGATGTAAATGTGAATTATCAATTAACAAATCATGCCAATCCAGACAAGTATAGCTTATTCATAACACGGTTTGGTAAACTATGAATTAGCGCATGTGAATCCAGTCCACGGTCACCGAATCTTGTGGTCTTGTTCCTTCAAACGTTTTTGACAAATTTCTAGCAAGCTTGATGTCACCGTTCACCAGAGGTTTATCAAGAAAGAAGGAGGAGTGGAAAGACTACAGGAATTCCTCTTTCTGCTCCCACTTTTGTTACACTTTGTGTAATCAAGCTAGGAGGCCTAATTGAGGATTTCCCTGAAGGAATTTACTGTGTATTATTATTATTATCTTTACTGTCAGAGTACAACATGTGTACAATGAGACTGGCTTAGCCTCTCTTCATGCACCACCCCACAACACAACTCACAGTGAGGACAGAAGTCCCTAACCAAAGGAATGATGTCATAGAAGTATGTTCTGAAGTATTGTCCCTTAAGTTCAACTGGGTTTCTCAGCAAGGGGTCAATCTGTTCAGAGCAGAGGTGGCCAACTTTGTAGACATATTGCTCTGACCCAGCCTTAGCAGAAGCAAGAAACAGACTCCTTGTCATGAAAAACCACTCTTTATATACCGCTTGTGAATTAATGGCATTCAGACACCAAAAAGTCCAGGCAATAGGAGTTAATTGCAGTACAGACCTTATCAGTTCCTTGCGATAATTGCAAGGCCTTGAGCTCCCAGTCGAAAGGCTGCAAATTAAATTCTGGCAAGCAGTCTTTGTGGTACAAAACACAATGACCAAAATCTTCAGAAATACGAACTATTGTCTCCTACGACAACCATTCCCCTTTCCTTCTATTTATTCCCCAGACAGGGAGGGGCCATTCAGTGTCCACATGTGCTTTGCTTCCTGAGTCAATTCCTTGTCCTCTGTTGTTCCCCTCTCCTAACAGCTCTGTGCATACACACTTCTGGAACAGGCCCCAGCTGTTCTTCCTCGCTCATATTAGCCTCCAAAGGCAGCTGCCTCTCTGGTGGCTGGGAAATGTCGGGCGGCCCTGGCTCTATCTCTGCGTCCGACAGAGCCTACCCTTGACTCCAGAACTGGCCCAAGTTCCTCACCAACCTCCTCATCGTCCGATTCTGCCGCCAGATGCACTGGCATCTGATGAGCCACAGCACATATTTCTTATCTTGTTTGTATTGAATTGAGTCTCGGTGGCGCAGTGGTTAGAGTGCAGTACTGCAGGCCATTTCTGCTGACTGCCGGCTGCCTGCAATTTGGCAGTTCAAATCCCACCAGGCTGAAGGTTGACTCAGCCTTCCATCCTTCCGAGGTGGGTAAAATGAGGACCGCAGATTGTTGGGGGCAATATGCTCACTCTGTAGAACCACTTAGGGCTGTAAAGCACTATAAAATGATATATAAGTCTAAGTGCTATTGCTATTTCAACAGGGCTTGTTCCTTTTAAACTCAGGATGGAAGCTCCATATGAGATTTGCTTAAATCAGAAATCAGCTTCCATTTTGGGATCCCGACTAAAGTGATTTTTCTCAGGAAGAGGCCCATGAGATGTAAACTGAGGAAAGAGGCACTGGGACATCTTATAGTGGCCTTTATTTGGGGGCAAAAGAATCTTTTCTCAAGCATCTCAACAATTTTGAGTGTTCATTGTGTATATATATGGGGGAGGGGAGAGCATGAGATAAAAATGAAAATTGTATCTCTGCCTTCCCAAAGTACAAATGAAGTTGAGGATGACTCAACAAGAGGTTAAACATTGCAACATCATAAAACACCGTAAACCTGTATAGTCAGAACATGGATCTCATTGGGCTTATCGTATACCTGTATAGTCAGAACATGGATCTCATTGGGCTTATTGTAAACCTGTATAGTCAGAATATGGATCTCATTGGGCTTATCAAATGTTTGCTCAAATGCATTATTAAAATAAAACAGAGCTTGAAGAAAGAGATTTCTAAAGGAAATCTCTGTAGGTGAAAAGCTCTGTAATCACCATTTGATGGGAAATTGAATAAAATGATAAAGGTTAGTACACACTCTGGACTAATTTACACAACTGGTTATGGTTAACTTACCCATAATTTGTTTGACTCAGTTTCCTGGATTTGCACCATATAGTAGTCCTCTACTTATGACCTCACTTGAGCCCAAAGTTTCTGTTTTAAGTGAATTTTGCCCCGTTGTCTGACTTCTCTTTTGCCACAGTTGTTAAGTGAATCTGGCTTCCCCATTGACTTTGCTTGTCAGAAAGTTACAAAAGGGGATCACATTACCCCAGGACTCTGCAACCATCGTAAATATGAGTCAGTTGCCAAGGCATCTGAATTTTTATTTGACCATGTGGATGCTATAATGGTCATAAGTTGAAAAATGGTCACAAGTCACTTTGAAATTTCAAACAGTCACTAAACAAATTGTTGTAAGACAAGGACTACCTGTATACTGAAGTATAAAACTAACCATTAAAATTTTATAAAACCATGCTAGATTAAAATGTGTCTTTCTGGTTTGTGGTCCATGTTTTTGGGTGGGTGTGATTAAGGATAGATTTATCGACTGGTATGTGGCTACTAAGAGTTGACAACAACTTGATGGCACGTAATCAATATTTTGTAAACCAAGTCATTAACCAGGGGTCTTCAAACTTGACAGCTTTAAGACTTGTGGACTTCAACTTCCAGAATTCTCCTCCAGTCATGTTAGCTCAGGAATTGTGGGAGTTGAAGTGCACAAGTTTTAAACTTGCCAAGTTTGAAGGCTTTTGCGTTAAGCCATAAACCAGGTTTTTCAACTCACATTAGATTCACACCTCAGGCTAACCTACAAACCAGTCACTTGATCTGAAAATATAGAGAGAGACTTTTTAGATAGAGGTGTTCTGTGCATAGTATACATTAATAAAGTTATGAGCTGTCAAACTCATATTCCATTGAGGGCCGCATCAGGGCTGTGGTTGACCTCGGGGAGGCCTGACTGGGTGGGCATGACCAACTTGATGCCACTCACTGGGTGGGCGTGGCCGACTGGGTGGGCAGGGCTAGCTTGATACCACTCCCCAAACTGCTGGCATGTTTCCTCTTCGCCCTGGGTAGACCAGGCCGAAGCCACACTGACCCGATGTTTCCTTTTCATACAGGGTAAATTGGGCCAAAGTGATGCGGGCCAACCTCATACATTTTCCACGATGGCCCCCGAGCCAGATCTAACCACAGGGCCTTGTGTTTGACACCCCTGAGCTATGACCTCTTCTGAATGGGACGAGACTTTAGTTCAGATCTCCTGAAGTTGTCCTAGGACAAGACTGCAGTTTTACAGAAAGCATCTCTTACATATGCTCCAGAATGTCCCGTATGGCATTGGCCTGTATCTCATATGATTAGATCTATAGAGTTTGACCTCCCAGGCACTTTAGCGATTCATTTATCGCATTGTATCTTTATGGGTGAACCCTGCTAAACCTCATTAAACCACTGTTGAACCTCATACAATCACATTTTCAGTGAAAAATTGCTGAACATTAGATGCAAGCAATCATCCCTGCATATTTTTTCTGTAGACCTGGGCAAGGAAGATGTGATGACCCGGAGCGTGGCACAAAAATAACAAAGTCACCAAAATAGATAAATTCCCTTTAATGCCTCCAACTTGGCTCCCAATATCCGATTATCCTCGGCGGGAGATCGAACTCTTCCAAAAACAGTCTACAAAGGGAAGAAATGCAGTCTGAATGCAAAATACAGATAAAGTAGAAATAAAAAAAAAACCAACACAAATCATGCTGAAGTAATTAACAGGGCAAACCAGGATAATAACTTGCAGACTTCCAAAAGATAACGAGGCACATACAGTTGGGATGCCAAAACCCAGATAAGCCTCAACAAAGATAATGCACTCTTTGCTTCCAGCAACTTTGCCATGTGTAGTTTTCCCTTTTAAACTGTCTTCCCAGCTGCAGCCCATGAAGGAGATCAGGGCCCTTTCCTCCCCCACAAACCAAGTTGCTCCCTTATCCATTCCTCCCTTTGTGCCGTAGGATGAAGAGGGTGTGGCCTGGGTGTGGCCTGAATGCCCAGCTGGACTGTGCCTTTTCCCAGTTTCCTCTACAGCCACCATAGCCACATTCCCACTCCCTGTCAACTGTTTCACCTCCCCCTCAGAATCAGATTCCAACTGCAGAATGACAGAAGACATTGTGGATTGATTTGCCTGAATGGTATGCTGGAGGGTTCCAGTTCTTAAAGGGCCAACATCTCATGCAGTGTATCCAATAGATGCCTCTAGCAAGCATCTGAGCATCTTTTGGCTCCTGAATATTGGGACAAGCCCTGAATCAAAACAAACTAATATAACAGATTTGAATTTTTTAAAAAAGAAATAGATTGGAAAATGATCATGTGACCCTGGGACACTGCAACCGTCATAAATATGAGCCAGTGGCCCACATCTGAATTTTGATCACGTGATCATAGGAACGCTGCAAAGTTCTTCACTGAAAAAAGGCCATAAGTCACTTTTTAAATTGCCCTTGTAACTTTGAATGGTCACTAAATAAGCTGTTGTAAGTCAAGGACTACTTGTACATTTAGTTAATCGTGCCTCCTATGTATGTTTATGGCTCAGCTTATTAAATAGTTTAGTAGCATATAATACTTTGTACAATGCTAAACTAGAATATGGTTTGCTTGGGTGAGAGTTCAGGGTATATGTGAATTCATAGCCTTCAGTTTATAACCAGTAGCCTGTATTGTGTGAATTCAAACCAATTGTAGCCCTTTAATAGCCTTTGTTTATTAAAATGTGGTTTTTTTATATATTTAATATCTTTATTGCACAATTTCTATATTTAATTGGAAGAAAAATATGGACATTTTAAACTATATTTAAAACTCAGATAACAGATAATCAGAGTTGGAAGGGACTTTGTAGGTCATCTAGTCCAAGCCCCCGCCCAAGCGGGAGACCCTACACCATTTCTGACAAATGGCAGTCCAATCTCTTCTTGAAAATCTCAACTGATGGCGCTCCCACAACTTCCGAGGGCAACTTCTGTTCCATTGGTTGATTGTTCTCACTGTCAGAAAGTTTCTCCTTATTTCCAGGTTAAATCTCTCCTTGTTCCGTTTCCATCCATTATTCCTTGTCTGGCGTTTGGGTGCTTTAGAAAATAGCTTGACCCCCTCCTCTCTGTGGCAGCCCCTCAAATATTGGAAGACCGCTATCATGTCTCTCCTGGTCCTTCTCTTTACTAGACTAGCCAAGCCCAGTTCCTGCAACCGTTTGTTGTATGGTTCAGCCTCCAATCCCCTAATCATCCTAGTTGCTCTTCTCTGTACTTTTTCTAGAGTCTCAACATCTGTTTTATAATGAGGTGACCAACTCTCTTAACCCAGTGCTATATAGTAACAACTAGCTCTATACCCATGTTCACTAGAAAACTATGTGATCTGGCTTAGTTTTGGGGGAGAAAAATAAGGGGGGAAAAGTGTGCCTCTGCCTTCCAGCATCCATCAGTATTCATCTGGCTAGCATCCTGTCAGTGTGTGTGAGTTGAGGGCTTTTTGGAAACTGAAACATGGAAACTGAGACAATATTTGCTGTGTGAGCAAAAAGGAGACAGCAAAGAGCCTGGGCGTGGCTTAGCTCAACTGTTCTGTACTAAAGCTGGTTGCTGCTGTGAAACTAAAACGGAAACTCCTCTCCTCTGCTTGTGTTTTGCATTTGGAACAGATTCCTTTTCAGGTGGGGAGGGGGAGTAGAACTCCTTAGCATCAGACCGTGTTAATAATAATATAGGAAATATTAATGCTCTGATGGTCATTTCAAAAAATCCTTTCATAGTGAGTACCTAGAAGCCAAGAGGAACATACATGCCAAATTTCAAGATTTTAGGCTTTATGGTTCTGGAGATTTTGTGATGATATGTGAGTGGTATTTCGCTTTTATATAGAGAGATTATCATCTTTCTTTTTTTTTTAAACATTTTACAGAATTGTTAAAAACATTTACTCCACTGGTAGAAAGACTGGGATTTGATGAAAATTTTGTGGACATCACTGAACTGGTCGAAAGGAGACTGACAGAGTGGAAAAAAGCAAGCCTTCCTAACATCTCTGTTTCTGGTCATGTATATAATAATCAGAGTAAGTACTTTTTTAAAAAAAACTGTGATGACCCAGGATGGGATACAAAATAAACACAGTCACAAAAAGAGGTGAAGCCCCTTTTACTCCTTCACTTTGCTTCAAAGCTCCAAATATCCTTGACTGGAGACAAAAAACTCCCCCACAAGCAGTTACAAAAAGGAAGAAATGTCATTTAAACTAAAAATGCCAATAAATTATAAAGAGTAAAAACAACACAAACCACACTGAAGCAATTAAGGGAACCCAGGCAAGATAAGGGCTTGAAGACGTCCACAGATATCGCAACACAAACTGGGAAGGACGCCGAAGTCAGGGAGGAATGACAGACTAGAGATATTTCCACGCTTTGTTTCCAGCACTGGCCCATAAGCATGTCCGTTCTTTTAACCAGTTCTCATAGCTGCAGCCCATGAAGAGAATCAAGGCCCTTTCCTCCCCTGTAGATCACACCATTCACGTCTCTCCCTTATCCTCTCCTCCCTGTGTGCCCTAGGATGGAGAGGGGATGGGCCTTGGTCTTCCTCTGACTGCCCAGCCAGACTTTGCCCTTCCCCAGCCTCCTCCACAACCTCCGGAGCCACACTTCCATTCCCTGTTGGCTGTTCCTCCTCTCCCTTGGAGTCAGTCTCCAATAGGGGCATGACATAACCACAGTATCATATTTGCACACCAGATCCCACAATAATGCTAGGTTGATAACAGAAAGCACATTTCCAGTATAGAATGACATTCAAGCTAGACATACAGGTAGTCGTCAGCTTACAACAGTTCCTTTAGTGACCGTTCAAAATTACAATGGCACTGAAAAAAAGCAACTTATGACCATTTCTCACACTTATGACCTTTGCAGCATTCCCAGGGTCATGTGATCAAATTCAGACACTCGGCAACTGGTTCATATCTATGACTGTTGCTGTATTCCAAGATCATGTGATTGACTTTTGCGACTTTCTGACAAGCAGAGTCAATGGGGAATTCACTTAACAACCGGGTTATTAACTTATCAACTGCAGTGATTCTCTTCACCACTAAGGCATCTTAAAATGGGACAAAACTCACTTAACAACAGAAACATTGGGCTCAATTGTAGTTGTAAGTCAAGGACTACCTGTATACAGATAGTGCCTGACTTACAACCACATTTAGAAACCATTCAAAGTTACAATGACCCTGCAAAAATGACTTACGATGGGTCCTTGCACTTACAACCACTGCAGCATCACCAAAGTCAAGTGATGAAACTTTGGTTGCCCTTGGCAACTGACCTATATTTATAACAATTGCAACATCCTTAGGGTCATGTGATCACCACCTGCAACCTTCCCCGCTGTCTTCCAGCAAAGGAAAGTATCAGCTTTGGAAGCCATATTAGCTCCAGATGCTTCCACACTGCCACATTCTTGAGCCTGGGAAAATGGGAGGGGGGAATTTCTTGGAGTGTATGTGGTTAGACCCAGAGGAGTAATACCTCCTTAAAAAAAAACTTTGGTCCAGCTGCCCCACTGGTAGCACCTCGTAAGGGCCCCTTTCCAGGGTTACAGGAGAAGATGGTCCACAGTTTTGAAGGCGGGAGAGGGCTTTGTGCCCCCAATGCCAGATAAAATGGTAGAACCATCTTCTAGGATAGGGGTCCCCAACCACCGGTCCCCAGACCGGTACCGGTCCGTAGATCATTTTTTACCGGGCCGCAAAGCTTGGGCGCTGCCATCTTGTTTCAGCGGCGCTTCTGGGTTTTCAGTTGGGTGCTCACGCCTTAGTTTCGTTGAGGGGGGGGGCGGCTTCAAACGAAGAGCCGTCCCGATGGCGGTGGAGTCTCGCGTTACTCAGGTACCGGTCCGTGGAAGAATAAATAATCGTGAAACTGGTCCCTGGTTCAAAAAAGGTTGGGGGCCACTGTTCTAGGAGAACCCTGTTTTTGAACCATTGCCATCTGGCAGATAGTACAGAATAATAAAAACAAGGACAAAGAGGCTGAAAAACAGCTTCTATCCCAGGGCAGGAGCTCTTTTGAATTCTGCTGTATAGTGCAGTGTTGGTGTGGTGTGTGGGGTTTTTGGTTCAATGTGTAGAGGGTGAAGGATGTGTGTTTGTGTTTATTTTCATGGTCATGGTCGTGATGTGCACTGAAGATGGTGTTTGATTTCGTTGTACAAGGTGCAATGACAATAAAGTAAACTAACTAAATAAACTAGCTAAATATGAGCCAGCAGGGTACAGCAGCATCCAAAAAAGCTAATGCTATATTCACAGAGGGATACAATCAAGATCAAAGTAAGTACTAATAGCACTCTATAAAGCCTTAGCAAGACCACACCTAGAGTACTGCATCCAGTTTTGTTCACCACGTTATAAAAAAGATGTTGAGACTCTAGAAAAAGTACAGAGAAGAGCAACCAGGATGATTAGGGGACTGGAGGCTAAAACATACAATGAACAGTTGCAGGAACTGGGCTTGGCTAGTCTAGTGAAGAGAAGGACCAGGGGAGACATGATAGCGGTCTTCCAATATTTAAGGGGCTGCAACCGAGAGGAAGGGGTCAAGCTGTTTTCTAAAGCACCTGTAGGCCAGACAAGGAACAATGGATGGAAGCTGAACAAGGAGAGATTGAACCTGGAAATAAGGAGAAACTTTCTGACAGTGAGAACAATCAACCAATGGAACACTTTGCTCTCGGAAATTGTGGGAACACCAACACTTGAGACTTTCAAGATGAGATTGGACTGCCATTTGTCAGAAATGGTGTAGGGTCTCCTGCTTGGGCAGGGGTTTGGATTAGATGACCTATAAGGTCCCTTCCAACTCTGATTATCTGTTAACTAACGGAATGTGGCAGTGTGGAAATGTCTGGTGCTGATATGGCTTCCAAAGCTGACACTTTCCTTGCTGGAACTCAGTGGGGAAAGCTGCAGATGGTGATCACATGACCCTAAGGATGCTGCAGTTGTTATAAATATAAGCCTTTTGGCTATATCTATGATTGGAAAAGGCTTCAGGAGTCAAAATCCGGAGCTGGAGTCCCAGAAGCAGTTTGTGACTGTGTACAATCACGTTCTGGTAACTCCTGCAACGCAGCTGGAACTAATCGTATTGGCTCTGCCTTCCATTAGACTATTCCAGTGATGTGGAGATGGGGGAATCTGCTGCTTGGGTAACAGTTTGTCCTCAATATTAAATTATACAGGCCTCATGCTCTGGAGAGGACACTCCAGCTTTGTATACAGCATTGAAACAACATGGGAAGTGGCAGTTACCGGTTTCATAGCACGATACCATAGTCTCTTGTGACTGAAGGATGCCAATTCAAAATGTGGTTTACATCATAGCATTCTTCTTCTAAGTCAAGGTCATGTTATTTCTGCACCTGGCTGAGGAGTGGTTGAGGGAACATCTCAAGTTGGGATGGATGGTGATTGGGGCATGTGATGCAATGAGCGGGTGCAGGGGGTGGATTTGTAATATTTTACTTATTGGAGGGAAACCCGGAACTTTCAGATTTAGGATTTCCTAGATGTGCCAGTTTACTATTCTTCTAAACGGAACCTCTGAGAAGTTGTCAGTCTCAGAGTTATTGGTGGGAGTTGAGGTTTTCTGGAACGCTAACAGAAAGTCAGTGGGGGGAAACTGGATGCAATTTACTTAACAATTGGGGATGTAAATGGAGGACTAGTTGTACAGATATTTGGCAACTGACTTATGATCGTCATTTCAACCCTGAACTACAAATATTCTCCTTTATTGGTAAGAATAAATCTGCCAGGTGATCTCTTAAGACTGTGTTGGTGATCCTATGCCACAAGTGCCGGAAGTAGCACGCAGAGCCATTTCGCCCAGCTCATGAGAGGTTGCCCGGAATAGCCCCACTGTGCATGCATGCGAGCGCCACCGCCCGATAGCTGGTTGTCGGGTATCTGGTGTGCATGTGCAGGGGGTAGAGGGTGGCTGTGCGGGAGACACACGCACATGTGCAGGTGTGTGATGTGCGAGGGGGAAATTGCATGTGCATGCTCAAAGATGCACATCACGCAAGGAGGAAGTCACGTACGCAGCTGCATGGCATGTGAGGGGGGTCCCATGCGCATGTGCAGAAGGCATGGGGGGGCAGCACATATTGCCTTCTGGGTGCTGGCATGCGAGCATGCACAAAGGGGCATGTGCGCAATCATCGGCACGGGAGCTGAAAAAGGTTAGCCACCGCTGTCTTAAGATTTCGTCCCCCCGCCCTCTTTCCTACACAGCTGTTGATTTCCATGACCCGATGCACAGGAGCCTAGCTATGGGATCTCAAATTGCAGAGGAGATGAGAGGTGCCATGTGCAGCAGGCTTGGGCTCACGGGCTGCGCAGGAGTGGCCACCAATAAAGTCCTCTCCAAGCTGGTCTCTGGGACCTTTAAACCAAATCAGCAGACAATTCTTCTGCCTGAGAACCGGCAGAACCTGATGGCCAGCCTCAGTCACCTAAGGAAAATACCAGGTGAGTTGACCTTGAGTTTGGAAGATAAGTTGGGCTTGGCTTGAGAAATATTGTAGCTTTTTTTCAACGTAGGCTTATTTACATTGGATGTGTTACTATCTTGTAAATCAGGGGTGTCAAACTCAAGGCCCACGGGCTGAATCCAACCTGCAATGTGGTTGGATCTGGCCTGCGGGGCCATCCTGGTCTACCCAATGCATAAAGGAAAGATGGCCACACCCACCCAGTTAACCACACCCAATCAGACAGCCACACCCACTCAGTTGGCCATAGCTGCCAAGGTCAACTACAGATCTGATGTGGCCCTCAATTAAATTGAGTTTAACACCCCTGTTCTAGATGAAATTAAGATAAGAACATTTAATGAATACCGGACTTTAATGTTGTCAATGTGTGAGAGTTCGTGAATTGGAAAAGACACGTAACAGGTCAGCCAATGGGGACTGTTTGATGACTAAAAAACAGCCCCTGTTGTGAGCCACGTCAGATGGCTCGGAGCCTAGACGTGGCTTAGAATAATTGGGCTGTATATATAACAGTTGGATCTTTGCTTCTTTGTTTATATTGCTTCTGTGATTATGACTTCTGGATTCTTCTGGTTCTGATTTTTGCTGCATGGGTATTGTATACATGCATCATACGATATATTATTGTATGTAAAGAAGTTTCTTCTATAAATGAATCCTGCTGAATTATTTACTTGTGCACTGGTTGGATTGCTACAAACTCTTAACAAATATGCCCGTTTTAATATGGATTGGTGTGATTTCTTTAAACTTAGATGTGATTGTATTGTTAATATCTCTGTGCTAAAAGAAAGTTGGAAGTCACTTTTGTTACATTTGTTTGATGTATTTTGTTAACTTGTTTTGTCACTCCCTTTCCCCTTTGTGTTAGTTGGTATTTTAATGTACAGTGTCTTAAGTCCCACTTCAGGCATGAAAGCCACTGAGCCATGGTAGCACAGTGGTTAGAATGCAGTATTGCAGGCTAATTCTGCTGACTGCCAGCAATTCGATTCTCACCAGCCTCAAGATTGACTCAGCCTTCCATCCTTCCGAGGTGGGTAAAATGAGGACCCAGATTGTTGGGGTCAATAGGCTGACTCTGTAAAACCGCTTAGAGAGGGCTGTAAAAGCACTGTGAAACGGTATATAAGTCTAAGTGCTCTTGCTATTAAAACCTAATAAAGATATTATAATAAAAAAGGAAAATACCAAGTAAGATGAGGAAACAAATAAACTTGCTTTGGCTTTGATACATGCAGATAGGTGAAACGAGAGCAGGCGCCTTCCAGTTCTATATGAACTTCATTTTAGGGCGTGTGAGAATGATTCGTCTGGAAAGCTGTTATAGCAAACTCTCTTTTCTCGTGCAGGGATTGGCTTTAAAACAGCAAAGCGCCTCCTGAATCTTGGGCTCTGCACTGTGCAAGATCTCCAAGACTGTTCAGTTGAGATTCTGGAAAAAGAACTGGGAATTCCAGCTGCACATCTCATCCAAAAGCTCAGTTGGGGAGAAGACCATTCTCCAGTCATCCCATCAGGAGCTCCTCAGGTACAACTGAAAACTGTATCTGGAGACAAGAATTGCCCTGTCCCTTATGTCTGATAATTCTAGGCAAACTGGGGTTTTCCAGATGTGAAGACTATATACTGTAGCTTCTTGATTTCTCACTCAACAAAGACCAGGATTGTATAAATCAGACTTCAGAGAATTGGTGGTCCCATGCATCTGGGCAACTATCTTGAGAAATGTTGGACGTGCATAAGTGCACCATCGTGCCTCCCGTCCCTGTCCTATTGTCCCCATTTAATCATACCTATTTTCTGTATTCTTACTCATGTTTATACTTATACCTATTATTTTGCAAGAGACTGACAAATCAAATAAATAATTGAATGGACAGTTGCATTTCTCAGGAAGAGATCCTACATGCCCACATATTGGACTAAACAATTGTGGTTTGTTTAGTTTGGGCTTAAGTGGTTGCATGAACAAAGCTGTTGTGGGTTTATAAGCCATAGTTTATAACAATGCATAAGTATTTTTTAAAAATTGAAACTTCCATTCATGTTTTTAAAGACTGGCTGATGTGCCTTGATATATGACCTAGTATGCTGGAAAGGCAGTTATGATTTATTGAATAAACCAAGATTAGCATAAAGCCAATCAATTTTTTGAAATACATTGATCCTTCCCCCTACATCTCCTTCTCATTAGAACAGTAAGTATTGTAAGAAATTAGCACCCATCCTCTCTCCTAGAAAATTGAAATAGCCTAGGAAATATTAAAAAGGCAGAATATTTCCTCTAAAAAGAGAAGCAGAAATTCACCTCAGAAGCAGAAACTCACTCCCACCTTTGTTAATGGGTGGGCCATTAAGGCCTGGGCCACAATACTTTACATAACAAAGATCTGCAGGTAAAGCTATAGCAATTGCTAAAAGCCCTTTTAAGGGCATAAATCGTCCAGCAAGGCCCAACCAAGCTTGGAACTCAGGACAGCCTACAAGGGTTGCCCCTGCATGGCCCCATGGGGGTCTGACAACCAAGAATACAAGCTCAAATTCAAATCCCAACAGAGGGTATAAAACCCAGCCATTCTCAGCACCTCAGCCCTTTTTATTGATCTCTTCCTTTTCACTCTGGAGCTCCAAGCCATGTGGTCCTGATATTAAACCTTCCAAACAGCCTCCATGTTTTCAGTGTCTTTTTCCCCACTTGGAACTGAACCTAGAAGGATATTTCTCCCAACAGTATCTTATCTGTATTTTAATAAGAATAGAGGATTAATCAGAAAAAAAAATGTGTTTGATGAATCCAATTCACTGTTTGAAATACTGTAATATAATTTTATTGCATGGTACTTCTGAATTCTTGAAAAGGAAACATTGGTGTCAGAAAAATCAACTGAATTTACAAATACACGAATGTCTGCTGCGTATGTGACTTGTGCATTTACTGATCTAAATTATTATATTCATTGTTTTATTTTTAAACACTATACTACAGTCTCTCAGTGATGAGGACTCCTTTAAAAAGTGCTCTTCTGAACCAGAAGTTAAGAAGAAAATTGAAGAATTGCTCACTAATCTTCTAGACAGGTGATTTTAACTCAAATAGTTCCACAATATTTGGGGTTTGAGCAAGGTTTTGAAACTGGGGGCTGCATTGTGTATGTGTGAATATATAGAACGGGTGAAACAGTGGCACAATGAGATCACAAGTAAATATTCAGTTCCTTTTTTTAGTTATTTGCATACTAAATGCTTCAGATTTACACACTTTCCTCACCAGTGGTTCCTTCTGGTGGGGTAGTAATCCTTCACCTCAGGTGGCCTGGCAGGAGCATGAGAAAGGATCACCTGCAAATCCTCAAAACAATGTAAATTTCTGTTCTGGGGGGCTGGGTTTCCCTCGGGTGAAATTCAAAAATTTTTCCCTACTGGCTCTGTGGGCGTGGCTTAGTATAATAGCAATAGCAACCAGAGGTGATTTTTTACTGATTCAAATTATCCTTACTACCTCTCCCGAACTGGGCAAAGATGATTGAATTTCACCCCTGGTTTCCTGGCATATTTCTTGAGCTATGGCACAGACCACAATAGCAGAGAATTATACCCAGCATATATTAATTAGTTCAAGGAAGCCAGAATTAAGCAATAGCAACAGCACTTAGACTTATAGACCGCATCACAGTGCTTTACAGCAGTGGTCCCCAACCTTTTTTGTGCCGCGGCCCGGTACCGGCATCACAAAATCATCCGCGGCCCGGTACCAGCATCAGCACGCATGGCAAGGCGAGCCAAGCGACTGGCCAGCCAGCCGTCCCCCGCTTCTCCCCGCCACCTTCAACTCCTCCTTTGTACCTGTGTCGATGGGCTTCGGGACGGCTTCGGGACGGTCGCTCGGCTCGCCTTGCCATGCATGCTGAAAGAATCCTCGCACCTTAGTTTTGTTCGAAGCCGCCGCCCCCTCGATGAAACTAAGGCGCGAGGATTCTTTCAGCACCCAAACGCCGCTTTCTACCTGGAAAAGCTCACCGGAAGCACTTTTTCATCAAAACAAGATGGCGGCGCCCAGCAAACCGGCGGCCCGGTAGAAATTTTTCCACGGACCGGTACCGGTCCAGGGACCGGTGGTTGGGGACCCCTGCTTTACAGCACTCTCTAAACCAGGGGTGTCAAGCTCAAGGCTCACAGGCTGGCCCTGGCCCACAGAGTGCTTAAATCTGACTCGTGAGGCCAGCTTGGAAATATCAAAGTTTTGGCTGGCAGAGTCCGGCAAGAAACATCTGTCCCATTTTCTCTCCACTCCCCACCCCCACTTCCCATCCTCCCCACCTCGGCTGGCCCACGGAGGAAAACTACAACGCTGATCCAGCCCTCGAAGAAATCCAGTTTGACACCCCTGCTCTAAGCAGAGTCAGCGTATTGCCCCCACCAATCTGGGTCCTCATTTTACCAAACTTGAAAAAGATGGAAGGCTGAATCAACCTTTGAGCTGGTCAGGATCGAAAGAATCAAAACGCCTGGCCAGGTGAACAGAGTTAACCCGCAATGCTGCATTCTAATCCCTGCGCCACCACAGCTCATTCACCGCTCTACAATCTAATGAACTTCCTTACTGCTCCCTTTGTTCTGCAAATTGTTCATTTAAGAGGTTATACTTGTTGGTGAATTGCCAATTGTCATTAATGCTTGACATAGATGGGGAGGGAATACTTCTCTGTTTCTTGAGCCAGGCCAGACTGAAATGTGGACACCTTGGTTGTTGATGGCTCCGTGTTTTCAACAGGTTGTACAAAGATGGCAGAAAGCCCCATACCATCAGATTAACCATCCGCCAGTATTCTGCTACCAATAAATGGTTTAATCGGGAGAGCCGTCAATGTCCAGTTCCATCTCACTTGGTCAAGAGGATCGGTTCAGGTAACTGTATCTTCTGGGCCTTAATTTCCTCCTTTGACTTGATGTCCAAGACAGTTTATGAAGAGGGTATATTGCTTTTTTCCCCCACTCTCTTTTTTAAAAAAAATATTTTTAAACATTTTATTAAACAAAACAATTGAAAAAATTGAACATGGTGAAGTCGGTTTGATGTGATTTTGAGTCAATATCGCATTTATATACATATACATATACATATACATATACATATACGTGTATGGCATTCAGCTTTGTTCAGGTATTTTCCCACGTCATTGTAGTTGTGCTTTTAAAGTTGTAGCAACGTTTCAGCAGAATCTCATCTGCCATCGTCAGGCTTCTGATGATGGCAAATGAGATTCTGCCGAAACGTTGCTACAACTTAAAAGCACAACTACAATGACATGGGAAAATACCCGAACAAAGCTGAATGCCATACATGTAAGTACCTGCGAAAACTTAAGAAAACATACATATACATACATACATACATACATACATACATACATATTCCTATAAACAGTTATTCAACTGTATACATATATACATTTGTTCATTCATATAATACATTTCTAACATCATTCGTCGTCTTTTCATCTCATTCAATCATTTACCCTTTCAACAACTCCTTTCCAACTTAAGACTTCCGTTTCTGCTCCCACCAATGATAGAATTTATCCAAAATTGCGTAGTATGCCGATTCATCTTTGTTTTTCATTTCTAGAGTTAACTTGTCTATAGTAAGATTTTGTTTATTACGTCTTCTTCACTTGGTATAACTGTCTCTTTCCAGTTCTGGGCAAATGTTATCCTTGCTGCAATAATAATGTGTATAATCAAATAAAGTTCATCTTTCTTATATTTTTTGACATAATTCATAATAGAATTCTGGTAGGTGATCTACTTTAAAACCCAACATTTCCTCCAGCCACTTCCCCGTCCTAAGCCAATACTCTTGCGCTTTTTTGCATCAGCACCACGCATCCTTAAGTCTTTTCTTCTGTATGTCATTCTAAGCCAAAAATAAAATAAAGGATTCCTTTTAGACAACAAGAACTGATAGGACACGGCAACAAAGGTGGCAAACAATTGAGTTTGAAAGTTTTATTACTCAGATGATGTATTTTACAGCATACAGTGATTCAGGATGTCCCATAAACAAAACTGAATTGACATGAAAAATTGTCCTTTCTTTTTTCTTTTTTTCTCCTTAGCATTCTGCCAAAAATAGCAGCACTCTTTCTCATTCACATAACATGCAGCACTAAGACTACATATATCAGCTTTTCTAACTGGCCCCTTTCAAATGTCTTAGGATTGCAACTCCCAACATTGCTAAGACTCTACTGTCTTGGAATTCTGGGAATTGTAGTTCCATCATATCTAATGGGTTGTAGGTTGCCCATTGAACAAGTCTTCATTTGAAGCAGATGTTCATGTTACTCATTTGTGCATCACCCCAGATCTTCAGCTGGTGCTCCAAGACAGAGTAATGTCCAATGTACAGAAAGTCCATTGCTTTATTTTACAAAGTCTTGTCCCAAATTCTCATTGCTTTCCTTGCCTCTGTTAGCCTCTTTCCTCTCAAGTTCACTGTCTCTTTGTCCATGGAGATCCTTCAACCTCTGTCTTTTCAATCCCAGCCAACCTGAACACTTTCTTTCATAGAAACTAGATCAGCCTGCTTGGGAATGTCGATTTTTTAAGCTCCTTAAGCTTGGAGAACAAGAATTCAGTTTGTCAGGTGCCAGCAAGTTCCCAGTTATTTGGCGCTTGGAAATAATCACTACTCAAAGGCATTCATTGTTACTCATCGTCTTCCCAGGGCTATTCTTGCAGGTTGGAGTCTTTACTGATTTCACAGTGTTGATGTCCCAGCTATTTCTTGCCTTTTAATGAGGGATCCTTGGTGGTCTCTGAGGTTAGACGTTGCATTACCCAAACTAGATAACATCAACAGTGCACTAGCAAGAAAGCAATCAAGTTCAGAGGGAACTCATTTCAACCCTGAGCTCCAAATGTTCTTCTTTCTTGGTAATTTTAACCATGCCTAAAAATCCCACCTATTTCCGCATGTCTGTGTCTGTTTGTCTGTCTGTGTCTGTGTGTATATAATGTGTCTGTGTGTGTATGCTTGTCTTCTTGAATAAGAGTCTGCTTACATGAATTTTTATTTATTTCCAGAGGACACCAGTGTAAAAGCTGACCTCGTTTCCATTCTTATGAAACTGTTTCGAAAGATGATCAATGTTGAGGTCCCATTTCATCTGACTTTACTGAACATTTGCTTTTCCAATCTTAAGGACCCACCAGCTTCGTCCAAGGAGTCTATTCAATTTTATTTGAGTCAGTCATCACCTTCTTTAAGCTCCAACAAAGTTCTTCACGTAAGTTCTACACTTCTTAATATACATAGAATCCTTGATTTGAAGCCATTCGTTTAGTATGGTTCAGAGTTACAACACCGAAAATTGTGACTTACAACAGGTCCTCAAACTTATGACTGTTGCAGAATCACATGATCTAATATCAGGCACTCGGCAACTAGCGTTTTATTTACAGCGGTTGCAGTGGCTCGGGATAATGTGATCATTATATGCAATCTTCTCAGTTGGCTTCTGACAAGCCAAGTCAAAGAGGAAATATTAATCCTTGTTTATATTTTTGATCTTTCCTGGCTTCCAACAAGTTATAAAACTTTCCCCATATTTTGTAGTAATCAGAATCATTCTTATTTTTTAATTCTTGTGTCAATTTATCCATTTCTGCACAGAACCAAATTTTCCTAATTATTTCTATTTCACCTGGAGTTCCTTTACATTTCCATTTTTGGGCATAAACTAATCTTGCAGCCGTGATTACATGGATTATTAAATATATTATATCTTTGTTGTATTTTCCCACATTAATTCCCAACAAGAAAGATTTAGGTCTATATTCTACTTTAATTTCACACATCTCTTCTAACCGTTTCTAGATTTTCTACCAGAACATTTGAGCTTTCTTACAATTTCACCATAGATGATATGTTCTATTTTCCTTGTTACACTTCCAACATATAGGGGATATATTTGGGTACATTTTAGCCAATTTAGATGGTGGAGAATTAAAAATATTGATTATCAGGCTTGTTTGTCTGTCTCCACCTAGGTGGATGAATTGGTTTGCTCCTAGTCTGTGACAGTTTTATAGGTGTCCATGTCTGCTCCTTCCCACTTTTCGATTAATATGCGTTAAATATTACAAGAATATTTGAATACATATTCAAACATACAGATACTATGTGAGGGACCCACAATTTATCATGCATATATGATTGTAGTACAACAAGTGGCGCGGTAACCCAGACGTGGAGCTCTCATCTCATAATCATGAGGCTGTGAGTTCAATCCTAGGTAGAGGCAGATATTTCTCTTGGCACACTGAGAATATATTTGCTGAATATAACTCCGCATTGGCAACAGGAAGGGCATCCAGCCAGTAAACACTGAGCTCCATTCAGTTGCATAGATTTCATCCTGCAAGGGGTTATGGGTTTGTTAAAAGGAGATGATATGATTGTAGAATTATTCTCTTTTGCATGTAGTTTAAAAGAGTTCTCATTTGCTATGTAGACAACAGAAGACAGAAACTCAGAAAACACAAGGATGGAACGTCAAGGGGAAGACAGTGATGTTTTATCAGAAGAGAGAAACACAAGATGTGTCCAATCTCAGCTCCACACTCCTTGTCTGCCAAAAGCAAGTGATCTTCAATGCCCAAGTCCACTACTTCCTGCTGGAATAGATTATGATGTGTTCAACCAGCTTCCAAGTGACATTAAGGAGGAAATATTCTCTAGTCAAAAGGTTAGAGATTCCACAGAGACTTTGTGGAGCCAAAGAAGATCTGAACTGGGGGAAAAATCACCATGCCATCCAAAAATGAAAATAAGCTCTATTTCCCTACATTCTGGAGACCTTGGTCAAAGTACTAGAACTCTGGCATTTTCTGGCATTGCACCCACAAACGAAGAACCACCAGTGGAAAGGCAAAATCCCCATGGAGAAGGTTCTTCCCAAAATCATTCAAGCCAAGGATCAAAAGTGGCCCTTCCTCCTTCTGTGGATCCCAAAACTTTTTCTGAGCTGCCTGCAGAGATGCAGAAAGAACTGCTAACCGAATGGAAGAGTCAAAAGGGTGCTTCCAAAATGCATGCCAGCAAAGTTGTGACACTTAAAGGAACCAAGAAAGGACAGGCGTCCTCTCCAGGGTCAAATAGTTTACTACGCTATTTCAAACCAAGATGACTACAATTTGGTGGAGAGACTAAGCTTATGTATCTGGAGATAAAACCTTTCTTCAAGCAAAGGTGTGTTTAGGGCTGGGAAATTTGACAACCGTCACTGCAAATATATTGTAAACGTATCAAGGTGGGAAAGCAAAGTCCACATGTCTACATATTTGCAAATAAAACAGACCTCCTGTACAATTTTGACACTTACATTCCTGAGCATGAAAATGGTTTACCATAGAATAAATGTCCCTTAAAATTTGAAGAATGGGTAGAGGTAAACAAGATGTTGAAATACAAAGCAGTCGCGGTAATTTGTCTCCATTTCCTTAGTTATAGATGCTAGAGGCTAGGGCACCATCCTGGTCTACTTTGATTTGTGAATGCTAATCGCTAGCATTCTTAGCGATGGCCATACTGGATTGAAAATCCTGGGAGCTGAAGTCCAGACACCTTAAAGTTGTCCGGGTTGAGAAATGCTGCTATAGGCTTACATATTCTTGCCAATGGAAGAACAATAGCAATAGCACTTATATACCACTTTACAGCCCTATCTAAGCGGTTTACAGAGTCAGCATATTGTCCCGCAACAATCTGTGTCCTCATTTTACCGACCTCGGAAGGATGGAAAGCTGAGTCAACCTTGAGCCTGGTGAGATTCGAACTGCCAAATTACAGGCAACTGGCAGTCAGCAGAAGTAGCCTGCAGTACTGCACTCTAACCGCTGCACCACAAGCAGGGCATAGGCCTGAGAATACAGGAAATCCTCCAGAGTAGAGAGCCTTTCTTTGGTCTTGGTTCCCACTCTCAAAATGGCCGTGCCACTTTCTAGAAACATTTTAGCAAGCAAATGTGAGACTGAGAAGAAGTCAGTTATAAGTATTTTGGGAGGGGGAGGACCGGGGGGGGGGACTTTACCAGTTCACACCTATTCGCTAAAACCGGTTGTTAACATTCTAAGCAGTTCGGAGAACCAGTTGTTAGAAAAAATCTCCTTTTGTTTTTTTCCAGTTTACTGCCCTAATCCTGTAGGGAAGGCAGTCCTTACATTCTGGTGTTGTAACTGCCCCTCCATTAATCCTCATTACATTCTTGGCAGGACTAGACTTCCTATCTCAGGAACCTCTCTGGAGTTATTTTCCTCTCCTTTGCTGGTACTTTGCTTGTGTGGAGTGACCATTCAAAGTTACAATGGCACTGAAAAAGGTGATTTATGACCTATTTTTCACACTTACGACTGTTGCAGCATCCGCACAGTCATGAGAGGCCAGGAGAGGAGATGCGTGCCTTGATGTGAGCGATATTGAGTTGGCCATACCCATCCAATAACATGACCACCAAGCCATGCCCACCACCTAAGCCATGCCCACAGAACCGGTTGTTAAAAAATTGGAATCCCGCCCCTGGGGGGGAACCATAGAAATGGCAGATCAGTCTTCAGAAAACCTATCTATTATTCACCACGGTTTGGTTGATCAGTAAATCTGCTTCCAGCTGCGTTTTAGAAACAGCAGCCAGGAAAGAACATAGTTTTCCAGCATCTTTTAAAAAAACTTCCAGTGTTGGAGCATTTACAACTTTTTTAGTTGTTCTGTCAGGAAATTTCTCCTTAGTTCTAAGTTGCTTCTCTCCTTGGTTAGATTCCACCCATTGCTTCTTGTCCTGCCCTCAGGTGCTTTGGAGAATAGTTTGATTCCATGATCTTTGTGGCAGCCCCCCGAGATATTGGAACACTGCTATCATGTCTCCCCTTTTCATCAAACTAGACATACCCAGTTCCTGAAACCGTTCTTCATATGTTTTAGCCTTGAGTCCCCTAATCATCTTTGTTGCTCTTCTCTGCACTCTTTCTAGAGTCTCAACATCTTTCTTACATCGTGGCTACCAAACCTGAATGCAATATTCCAAGTGTGGCCTTACCAAGGCATTATAAAGTGTTATTAACGCTTCCCGTGATCTTGATTCTATCCCTCTCTTAATGCTTTTTTGGCAGCGGCTGCACACTGCTGGCTCATATTTAAATGGTTGTCCACTATGACTCCAAGGTCCCTCTCACAGTTACTACTACAATTAGCACGGCTTACAACCCTAAGTTCAAGTTCAATTATGGGCATCAATCAAGGGCTAACTGTGGTGCCTGTAGTCCTTTACATCAGGTATTGGCAACCTGAGGAAATTAAATGATGCACCCGTCCTCTTTTGTTGGCCTCTGAAGCTGCTTGTGACCATAACTGCCATAACTGCCAAAAACCAGCTGAATGACTGACTCCCTGCCATATTGAGATTGGAAACACCACCAACTAACAATCCCAAAGGTGCTTTTTCAGGAAGCAACTGAGCTTTCTTGGTTTTTTTTTTCTTTGTTGACATTTTGCTTCTCATCCTGAAAAAGCACCTTTGGGACAACTGTTATCTGGATGACTGAGAATCTCTACAGATTTTTAGCTATGCAATTTGGGATGAACACTCTTCAAATGGTGTGGGAGTAGGAACGGATTTCCAAGAGGAAAAATTGCAGACTACGGGAACCAGGAGCACTACTGAGGTGACCCTGAGGACACAAGATAAACCTCCAAGTGCTTCAATGACCCTCTAAAACCGGGGTCTTCAAACTTGACAGCTTTAAGACTTGTGGACTTCAACTCCCAGAATTCCTCCTCCAGTCATGTTAGCTCAGGAATGCTGGGAGTTGAAGTCCACAAGTTTTAAACTGGCCAAGTTTGAAGACCCTTGCACTAAAAGGATACAAATGACCAGCTGTCTGCAAGGAATATACATCCTTCCATTCCCCACCACCATCCAACCAGAGCTGAAGAAGCTTCTTGGATGAGAAGCGAAACATCTTCAGGAAAAAAAACCAAGAAAGTCCAGTTGCCTCCCGAAAAAGCATCTTTGGCACAACCGTGACCTGGATGACTAAGAATCTCTACAGATATTTACAAACTGACAATATTCTTTCCTCCAAATATGGAAAGAAGGGGCTGGGAAAGATGGCGGGTTTGCATCCCTCCCCCCCACAAACGTTGAGTGAAGTTCTTGACCCCCAAAAACCTTGCCTATCTCTTCTTGACATTAGACCAAACGTGGGTCTGTTTTGTATTGAAGACAAGCTTCCTTGCACCCTCTGACAGGGGATTTTATCTCCCTGATTGTCTCAACATCTTTAATCCACTCTTGCAATCGGTCACAAAGTTTATGAGGCTCATGGGCATAACGGAATTGATCACTGAAGGCATTAGAAAGCCTCCCAAATCCACCTGGACGACCATCATAAGTTTGGTGTGCTCTGGGTTCCTGAAAAAAAGAAGAATGGGGTTTTATCAGTAAGAGTTCTGAGGAACGTCCCTCCCCACCTTCTCTGAATCCAGTGTGGATCAGTGGATTTCAACTTCTGCTAAGTGCAGGGATTCCTATGACCTTTTCTTGCTTCTCTTCCCCTAGGGTCCCCTAACCCTAAACCCTGATCACAGTTTAAGCTTGGCTTGCAGCACTCGAATAAACTTTGGATCTGTTTTCTCCAACTAACTCTTTAAAGATGAGCATGGGAAGAATTACATCTACACATTCAGGTAACAATATGAGTAGTGCGATGGCCTAGAAGTGGAGCTCTCGCCTCACAATCAGGAGGCTGTGAGTTCAATCCTAGGTTAGAGGCAGATATTTATCTTTCTGGGCACAATGAGGATATATCCGCTGAACAGAACTCTGCATCCGGCCAGTAAACACACTGCTCCATTCAGTTGTCCAAAACTCCACCCTGCAAGGGATTACGGGATCTTTAAAAGTTTATGATTCGGGTAATATTATCAAGCCATCCTTCGGCACTTCTGGCAAATGAGTAGAGTCCGGTTCATTTAGAGTGCTTCCAGCTTTCAGGTTAAACGTATTCCCAGGAATAAAAGTTTCTGCAGTGAAATAGCTCAAAATCCTTACCCTGGTAGTGGAAGACAGGCATAGCCAGAAGAGAAAGTGGTGCCCCGAATACAAGCTGGAGTTGGAGGGAAATTAGGATGAACCACACTGATGGCTATAAGAAAATACAAAGCAAATGTTGAAATCTGTTTAAACAGCCAAGCTGTCTGAATCTGACAGCCATCCAAATATGAAATCAGTGTCAACTAAAAAATACTTCTTTGGTCTTTTTTAGTTGTCATCAGAAAGGGAGTAGAGGAAAGCAGTGCATTCCTTAAATGCTTCAGATAATTTCTTTGGGAACCAAAGCTTCTGGCCCGCAAAATTATTACTGGAGACCACGATTGATGACTCTTGACTATGGATGTGTCTCATTGGAGAATATACATCCGGGGATGGGGGGAAGACCAGGGTCAAGGGTGAAATGAATCAATGTGTCAAGAGTCGGCTGCAACTGGGAAAGACTGACATGTCAACTCCTAATAAATCAATCTTTTTTACTGTGAGAGATGTGGCTAAAAACTTATGATTTGAATGGAGGTGCATATCGGAGTCCTGACTGCCAGCCGACTCTGATACATCATTCATTTCATTTAAACCACAGACCATGCTGATCATTGAAGTAAAAGGAAAAGGTGTTTATGTATCCAACAATGGAGTTCAGGTAGCTTTTTTTTTTCTTTTTGGCAGTTTGACACAATCAAGAAGTGTAGGGCCTTCTAAGCAAGCTTGTTAAGAAAATGAGTATTGTTAGCCTGCAGAACACACCTGACCAGAATGGGACAACTTACCTATAGTCAACTCACCATGGCCAACTCACAACCCAAACAACTCACTATAGAATAATTTAATTATTCAAAATAATTAAAAATTGTTTTAATTTTTATCATCCACATTTTAGTTTGTCCTTCCCTTGGCTTTCTTTATGATTCTATTAGAGTATTTCTTCAATATTAGTGTAACTCTTGTCCTGCGGCAAATTGACCATTGGATAATTGGTCTCAACGAGTTATTGTAGACCCCTCCTGACAGTCCCTCTGATAAACTCTGACATAAAAGATAGGATGATGACATGATCTAGAATAGATCAGAGGTGTCCAACCTTGGCAACTTTAAGACTTGGCTGTAGAAGTCCACAAGTCTTACTTCCACTAGAAGTCCAGAGGTTGTCAAGGTTGGACACCCCTGGTGTGTGATAGATGGAATCTTATACCCCGTGAGTCCTCAAAAACTACTTTCTGAATAAATGAAACAGATTAAAAGCTGAAACTGACTTCTTAAGACAATTTCACCATTCTGAATAGTGTTTCTCAACCTTAACACAACTTCAAGATGTGTGGGCTTTAACTTACAGAATTCTGAAAATTGAAGTCCATATATCTTTACAATAAGTTGCTAAGGTTGAAAAATGCTGCTTTAGACTCTTGAATGACTGGGAAAATGGAGCTGTTCCATAAG